GATCCTTAAGGATCCCACTCAGTTGGCCAACAGAAATCGTTCAGCCTTCATTTGAGAACTACGATTTCAATTTAATTGTACGTGTCTCAAGTGATATCAAGTCGGAGAATTTCTAGCTGACTTGGTGATGCTGGATTAAATAGGAAGCGGCCGCTAAGGGTTCGATCATTAAACAACAAAGGTGAAGACGACTAGAATGAACCAGAGAGCATCAAGACTGGCTATTACCTCAGTGGATATGTATTCTGTTCACCGAAATGACAAAAATCAGTGTAATGAGTGACGACTATTGGCAATGTGCAAATTCTAACTCGAATATTGGTATTAGGCCAATAATTAATAATAACTTCGTCCTCCCAGAGCTAGAATGGTGAAAGCCGAGGTTCCAACGTATTTCAAATCAGGATCAGAATTATTTCCTATTCTCCTTTATTTCCGACTGAATTACTAAACTGTTATTTTTGCGTTTCTCTTTAATAATCTCCTACATTGCATAAATAGGTAGGGGGCTAATTTATGTAGTGGGATGACACTCTCGCTGGGGAGTCAGGGGTCATTTCCCGGAATAATCAAATTTGAAAACGGCCTAGAAGGACGGAAAGTAGCCGGAACATGCCTCGGCCTCAGTTTCGTCGAAGGTTGCCGTCGAATTAGGACAATGAAGGTCAGTTCACGAAATGACGGAAAATGGATCGGTAAAAAACGGGTTCCTGTCAGCTACATGCAAAACGAAAATTAAAAAAAAGATCGTACTTATATAGCTGCAGTACAGCGACGACGACGTCGCTGACGAACGATAACCTTAAACCAGTCCGCCTCGTCTTATATGGTCAAGCTTTTTGTCTCGGTTTTTGTATGGCACTGGCGCGTAATATGTGCATGCGTGTACATGACTCACCTTACGCCGAGACGATCAGTAGCCCCGTGAAACTACAATTTTTTTAATTAATGTGACGCCGTCGTTCATCAAGGCCCCATAAAAAAAAGTAAAGTGGATAATGGGTTGAGAAAACTGAAATGTCGTAGAAGATTTTTTTACTTCATTCGCTAAAATACCCAATTGTGCAATGATCAAACGTGTGCAGTGTCAATTTAAGACGTCAATTGCGTTAAACACTGTGGCGAGTCAATTCGGAGGTTTTCGGTACTTTGGCGGCAGCTCTGGGAGCGATCGGATAATTTCCGTAGATTTTAACCATTGGTTAACATTTGTCAATTGATTGCGGATTCCTCCTATATCATATAAAAATTACTTCGCAGCACCTTTATCTAAACAATCTTTGATTGCGGATTCCCTCCAAAACCCGCATGGACAATGCCAAAAACAAAAAATCCACCAAAAAAAAAACCAACCTCATATCACGAAAATCCATAGTTGCTTTCTATCTGACGTTATACCGTAAAACTCACACAAATAATGCAATTAAGGTTTAAAAGTGCACACAGATGGCGCTTTTCAAAAATAAGTATAAAATTAATACCACAACACTCTCTCTTTTGAATTTTGAAATTTGAAATTAGGAATTTTCATGATATGAGGTTAGCAGGTTGGTTGTTTTTTTGGGTGGCTTTTTTGTTTTTGGCATTCGCCATGCGAGCTTTGGAGGGAACCCGCAGTCAAAGTTGGTTGAAAGGTCAGCAGAAGTAATTTTTGTATGGTTGGCAGTTCCCGATATACCTATATCAGGAGGAATCCGCAATCATGGGGCCCAACGTGCGGCAATGAAGGTTCAAACGTGAGCACGCTATTCAAAAATAAGTTTATAACTAATATTACAACAAAATGTATTCACGAAGTTTCGTAAAAACATAGTTTTTTTTTCGGTCACTCGTGACTTAGGTAAATGCTGTTTCTCAAACGTGTTGCACTATTTTATATTACCTCTTTGGAAAAAATCATTTTCAAACCCAAAAATAGCGAACTTTGCCGAATACACGGAGCAGCGAGTATATTTTTTTTCTCCCTGCTACCAGAGAAGGAAATATTTAATAATACTTGTTGCAACGTTAGGCATTTTCATTTATTCTCTCTTCTATATTTAGATTTAACTAGTTATATGTATCGTGCTAATCATTAAATTAATTTTTGGAATTTAATTTTTTTAATATTTTCAAATGCAAAAAAATAATCGCAAAAGCCTGTTTCAAACTGCTTAAATAATACAAAAACTAATCATAAGACTTGTATTGTTTTTTATTAACAGAACTGTACATCTGGAGTGAAATGCATTTCCTCCATTAAATTTTAAAGCCCTCGTTCCCGAGATATGTTAATAACTAATTTCACTTCGACCAACGATGAAGTTAAAAAAAAATTGTATATTTTTTCTGAATTTACAAAAACAAAATAAAATATTTTCGGAAGTACCAAAGACATTGAACGGAATTTTATCTTGGTTTGGGGTGCCCTGCTGCATGTCTTACCGTCTGCGCTATCCCAATGTCGAATTTGATGAAATGCATGAATACCTGTACACTGTATACCTAACATAAAATTCATCTTTAATTTCATTTTAAATGGCATCTGATTAAATATTTCCACATTTTGTTGACACGTTATAAAAGCTGAATTCAAACATTCTATATCAAGTAGGAAGCAATGGATATTACAATGTTCAGAAAATTGCAATTGCCAACTAATTAAAACTCTTGTCCTTACACACCACCATTTTGTTTTACAAACAATCTTAAAATCTTAAAAGACGGAAAATCTTAAAAGGCGAGATTTTTTGACAAAATATGCTCTTGTTTACCATTTATGTTTAGCAAGAAATTGCCATATATATTAAACATCTTCAGGACAATTCTAGTTATTATACTTATTGTCATCCGGAAACGTCTAAACTTGGGTATCATCCACCGTGAATGACTCTGGAGCATTATTTTGCTGACGATGTAACCCGGTGGCAAGCCTGCGATCGTCGACCTTTGACCGCCACGATTAGTGCAGAAGAATACCAATTAAATTCACGATTTGTTTCTATTGTCGAGCCCGGGTTCTACAACTTGATCGTGCCGACGAAGTTATCAATAAATTTTTGCCTGGCGAACGAAGAATTATACCACGAAAACAAATCCCGACATGTTGTGGTAGCCGGTTACTCGTAGACCTAAAAATATGTGTCAAGGTTTTACGGCGCGGCAACGTTACAATCTTAAATGCCCGATTAAAATGGAACTAACGGTAACGATGAACCACTAAATCCATTGAGATTTGTGAGGCGATTTTCGAATACAAGTTATTTAGCAAAACGGCCGTTGAGGGCCGATAGCAACGGCGCCAGGGGAGGGGCAACCACTGAACGCCATCTTTTTCCCTGAAACGGTTCTGGAAATGGATTTTCTTTATTTTCGTTATCCGTGTTTTTTCCCAACTAGTTGAACAAATAACTATTTTACAAAGTTGGGACGTCTATATACCGTATATATATATACATTGTATGAGCAATTTCGCGGATTTCTTAAGAAGGCAGATTATGAATTTAATTTTATACAAATCTTTCAAGAAAATATTGTTCGATCACCAAATAATAATGTGTAAATAATTTCAGTAAGAATGTAACGGTAAAAAGAAATCAAACATCGAGAAAAAAATTGTAACATTTCCCTAATTTTTCTACATCGAGCCTGTGCCGTGCCATTTCCGTTTGGATGGAGTCCACTGGGGGAGATGGAGCCATTTTTCGGCGGCGGTCAAAGCTATGACAATGGTGTAAAACGGGGTGTCATCATAAAAGGAAAAAAATCAACTTCAAAACATGTAGCTTTAAATTATTCAGCGTTTGTATCACACAGCGAATTCTGCACATATGTTTTCTAGGGATCGTGGCATATCCCGTGCTTTATCTAACCCCAAAACCCCAATTTTTGATGCCTCGATGGAAGTCTCAAATAAAAATAGTTTTTAAAAGGCCAATTCGATAAGTTTTTTTCCGTTACAATTTATAACTTCTTCAAAGCTTTTCAAAAGAAAAGCACTATATTAATATATGGATTTGAAAATGCACCCACCACTCGCGGCATCTAGGATTAAGCTGAAAATTTCACACCACTACCTCTTTTCTAATCAATAAAAATTGATTTTTTTGACAAATTGTTATGACAACGCGTATATTTTATCGGCAGTTCTTCTGTCTAAGCCGAGGAGCATACAAATTTAGTGAAAATTTGTTGAGATAACGATGTACAATTTGAAAAAAATTTGATCGATTGATCGAAGGTAGCTCGAGTGACTGAAGATATGCGTACTTTTTGACAATCAGTTTTTGGTTACATTCTTGCAAAATAGCATGAATACATACATGACATAACACGCAGAATCGATAAACGCCAAATACCATTTAATATTTTAGAGGTGGGAGTAGAAAAAAACGCTTAACTGTCATTTTAACCACTGTCTGGACCGAAACAAATGATACAATCATGATACCATGGCAATTGAATTAAAAAGTAAAATAACTTGTCAAACGAAAAAATTAAACATTGTCAAAAACTGAATTTCAAACGCAATTAAGTGCGAAATTTTCTTCCGGAAAACCACTGGAGGTTAAATTAAGTCCCGGAATTTTTTCTCACGTATTCAAATATTGATGGATTAGAAAAAAAAACGCAATAATTTAACCTCTTGTGCTATTATAAGAAAAAATTTTCGGGGACACTTCAAACATTTTTTCTGTCAGCTGTATCATTAAATTGACAATACGCTATAACTTTGTTCAGGAAAGTTGCTATTTTGTTACCTTCTGCAATGCCATAAAAATTACAATTAAAGTAAGTACTTCAACGTCAGATTTTCAAGCAACTTTATTTATCGATTTTTTTTTATTGAAAAAATGGCAGTAAGTCATAAATTTAGATATACTAAATTAATCATGTGCAATTTTAACAATCATTTTCAGATTAAGTAGACTTCCTTAAAAGAATTATTCACATGAACTGTAGGTAATAAATAAGATTTAAAGATCCAATTCGACAGTGCAAATCTAGGCTTAGTAACTTACCCGATTGCATTCCAGTGCCTCGGCCGAGTGCTCTTCCTTCTGCCTGAAGCAGTTTGAACATTTGGACTTGTGGAATATGTTCGGAGCGAATTTTTTACACTGCGACATGACGACGATCACAACACTCAGCACTAAATATCGAATAACTGCCCCTTAATGTAACCCATAGTCACCGACCATGTACATTAAAACACTGGTCGCCGTACGCGAAATCGTGTCAGCGCCGCTGCTTTTTAAGCAACATAAACAATCCTCTAAACAACCGCTACAACCTCTCCATCGCACAACCACACTCAAACTGAAACGAGTGGAACGTATAGAAATAAAACTCGCTGTCACAGTCCAAACCATTCAGCGGTTCAAAAACGAGTCGCATCGGATGTTGTCACGCAGGTAAAGAAAACATCGGTCACGTGGTGTATTTGATAGAAATGCTTTACATTCTTGACAGAAGGCGCTGGAATAGGCAACACTCCACACACATTTTAAGGAGATATTGGTAAGAAATAACAGCGTTCTTCTCCTTAGCCCGATTAACAAAATTTTCAAGGATCAATTTCTTTTAACAGTATTCCATTCACTTTCTACGTTTAGATCAAGTTCTTGTAATTTTTACGGAAAATTTTATTTTTTCAACATATTCCATTTAAACTGACCTTTTACAAGATCTTCGAATATCTATGATATTAAGTGAAACAGGTTATGTTGTGTAGGATGACAACTTCGGGCATTTACGAAAAGTTTACACCAGGCAGCATTAATGAGAAATATCGAGTACAAAGTTTTGTACAAAGTAAAATATAATTACTACAAATTAATCAAGTTTGCACACAAAACAGAATCAGTCCATTTTAAATTTAGGTATACTTTTGTAATTTAAAATAATGGATGGGGGAGAAAATAGGTAACATTTAGATATTACCACAGTCCATTTGCTGCAAATAATTATTTATAGAGAGTTACGTCGAAGCAATGTAGCTGTAATTAGGGAAGTGTATGATGGGCATGACTCCCAACAGTACTTTCAATTAGAGCTCGAAAAAGCCCTCGACAGTTGCTGCTCTGTTATTATAATTGAACCTACCCAACTGGGTGATGAAACAGCCCATTGGATTACTATGGGCAATTTTTTACACAAAGCCGCAGTTGTTACTGGAGTAACTTCCATTGTTTCAGGCAAGTTTGATGTAATTTATAGGAATTACTGCTTATCATAAAAATATGAAATCAATTTCTACCAAATCATTATTGGAGGTTTCTCAATATTATATGCAAAGCAAATATAATAATTTGAAATAACTATAATTTTTCCTTTTTGTGTATTCCTGGTTGCCTAAATGTGTTTCGTAAAAACTGAAATCACACCAATTATTAACATTAACTATTAATAATGAATTGAACTGGTTACACTATAAAATTCACAATCCACTAAAGAAATGCAATAATAAAATTACAATTTTTCTGCTATAATTTTAGGTTTTGCTTGGACTGATAGTTGTATGCCTCAAATGCCTCTTGCTGGACTTTCTCTAGTGTGTACAAGTCTTTATACAGCTTCATGGCAGTTCGATCCCTGTGTAAAGTATCAGGTATTTATATATAATTTTTTTTTCTGCGGATGTTATAGGTGTAAATGTTTATTATATGAGCTCAAATATGAACTTCCTTTCAAAAATCAGGCTTCATCATAAACTAGCCTAATTTTATGCCAGATAGTAAACTCACAAAGTTGTTTTAATAGACACATAGTGAGACAAGGAACACTTTAATTTTCAATCCTTTATAGCACCAATCCTTAATCAAGAACAAGATTTAACAGACCGTTTTATAAGTTATATGATCCAACCATTAACTGTAAAATAATTCCCCCTCTAAATCAACAAAGGTTATCCTCAAAAATGTAATGCAAATTAACAATATGCAGTAATGGTAAAATTATAGTTATTCCTTTCGAAAAATCTTTGAAATCGAATTTTTCGAAAGTATACCCGCTTGGCGACGAAACATATCTCGGCAACGGTTGGTCTTACGCGTCCCCCATTGGTACAGAAATGATCAGGGTCAATTTTTTTTTTGTCTGTTTTCCGTTCTCTATCGACGTTTTATAAAAACGCGGCTTAAGCCAGTGCTCTGAGATTTGGCTCCTTTTAAACGACCCGCGAGATACATAAGCCTTTAGAAAATGGCCGCGATCAGACATTGGTGTTCATATTTTTTTCGGGATTTTCTTCTGTTTTTCGTTCATCGCTATGAGTGTCCGAAATTTGCAGCTATCGATTTCAAAATTGGCACAAATATATAGTTTAGTTCCCTAATGGAACCTATTGATATTGAGGGGGCTGGAGTGTCGGGTATCGAGAAAAACTGATTTCTTAAAAACGGTTTATCCGATCGAAAAAATTCTTGAACAAAAGATGCACGATATCCGGATTTTTTAAAAATGTATGAGGATAATTGACCATAACTAGAAGGCTGTGATTCAGTTATCAGTTTCTTTCACATGACTATTAGCCCATATAGAGAGCTAAAACTTTTGTATTTAAGGTTTTCAAATATAGTACTGGGGATATCCTGTGCTATATTCAAAAATGTTATAGATGTTTCAAATTTGTCTTCAATTTCAGCAGAGAAGTAAAAATTCATACGCACACCTAAACTGTAGAAACTGACTGGTAGAAACAAGTATTTAAAAAAAACATCAAAAAATTTTTTTGGGTTATTCTAGCTTTCACATAAAAATTATTTTCTCGAAAGCTATTAATCCGATCGGCAACGTCCTTTAACCAAGAAACGCGGAAGATCCAGTGCTATAACTTTTAATTCAAAGATCTTTTCGATAATATACAGAGTTTCTCAATTATGCACAAAAATCTAAAAGACCCTGAAAATTGTTCTTTTCCAGAGTAAATTATTGGTCATAAATCAAAATCCGTTAAATATATGGCTAATTGGTTCAAACAGAATTATAGGCCGCGTCCAGACCAACAATTTTTGCATTTACGGTTTTTGTCCATCATGCCCGCTTCCCGAGATATTTGAAAAAGTTCATGTGGTAGTCCCTACATCTCGCATTCAATATAGGTGCGATGACGTCATTTTCTATTACGACGTACTGCATGCTTGCAGAAAACAAGTATTTTCTCGAAAACCGTTTACCCTATTGAAAAAATCATATACCGGGAAATGTAGGAGATCTAGGGGTATTACTTTTAGTTCGGGCATTTTTTGGATTATGTACAGGGGTGGCGATTATGGGCAAAAAAATCTAAAAGATCGTAAAAATTGCATTTTTGCTGGACAAACCGTAGCCGTAAATAAAAAACTATAAAATATGCGATAATTTGGTTTAAACGGTACAGGTGTATGCAGAATAAAATTACATCGATTTTGCGAAAGTTGCATAGTGGTCCGCTGGAGCACGGTAGAAAAACAATGCGTCCATCTAGGACAAGGAACTGCGAAGCAGCTTCTTTTTGAAATACAAAGCTGCTTCGCGCTACGCGCTATGAACTTGCCGATGACTTCACGATTTGTCGAAAGCAATCTTGTTTTCTTAATGCGCATGCGCATGACTTGCCATGCCATTTTTAAGTCATATGTGATATAAATGTAATTTAAATTGATAATGCACTTATCAAAAAACATCTGAAGAGAACTTTCGCCATTTTATATTTTTGGAACAATTAAAATAACTTCTGTAGAAGTCATAAGATCATAGCAGATGTATGTACAAGTATCCTATTACCTATTACAAGTCATAAACAAATTATTGACTGACTATTACATATAAGTGTAAATAAACCATGAACATTTTAGGTAGAGAGGGATCCAAGAAAACTATCAAGGCTGCCTATACTGGGGGCACTGACGGCAGCATCGCCCGTAGTTCTGGTGCGCAAAGACGATACCCGTAGGAAAATTTTGCATTGTACCATTTCATTGGCGGCCGCGGCCATATGTTTTTATAGGTTATATTGGAAATAGTACAAATGTTAGAGAAAAAACATCTAGCTCAACGCAATAGTGCGCTGGTTGATGAAGTTTACTGTCAATAATATAAGCAACAGAAAAAGAATCGCCCAGGGTGTGATTTGGTTTGAGAAAAAATTTCATCAAACGGAGTTGCTAGTTCAGATTTATGGACAAAAACTGTAGGAAACAATAGTTACGAATGTTACCCCAATTTTATTGGTAAAAAAATATACATATTTTTCTTTTATGAAGCTGTTTTCGTTCTTTCAGGCTTTTTTTAAGCATCTTTGTTTATATCTGTCATGGCTTTAGGAGTATATGGTAAAAAAAAATTAGTTGAAAAATTTAAAAGTTTTTTATATATATCGGCGCGCTTAGCTTTAAGTGGTCGATATTTTCGCATATTTCGTTTTGCGTGTTTTGACTGTTTATTTTTGACTAGCATTATTTATCGTATCGTAAACAGTTATAATTCTGTCATTCGTAATATTGCTAACCCATGGGAACCCACATTGGTATTTTTCCGAAGTGAACGGAACGCGAACCGGCGAAGATAGTCCGGCTTTATAAAAGCACTGATTAGGTCGGATTTTAAGTAGCTCCGATAGTTTGTTTTGATAGGCTATTTTGCAGTTGATCTAGAACCTAGCGGTTGGCGAATCGTTGGATTCTCTTTAATAATCAATCAAGTGATTAGATTATTCGTTTGTTTTAAGCACTGTGTTATGTGGAATCTTTTAATATGTCCGAGAAGTCTAACCCTATGTGGCTTGGCTCGCCATCATAACCCGATACATACTCCGGGTTTCTATTCCTATTTTATAATTTTTATTATATTATTTCGATTATTTCTTACGACCTTCGACATCTTATCTTTCAGTCATCCTATTGGTTTACATATATTATTAAAATTAGTGCGCACAAAATAAATTCAGATACATTTGCAAGCTAACCTAGAAATACCATAAAAAATGTTAATATCAAAACATAACTCCAAGATGGCCACTTCTGAAAAAATATAAGTGTGGGGGTGGAATTCAAATATTTAATGTGAATGGACTGATGTCAACAAACTCAGTATCATTGGTATGGCGCATTGATATTGTTTCATTCATAAGTAGGGTTGAACTTGAAAGGCAATATCTTTAAATTCCTCTTTAACACTTATAGAAATATCTGAGATAATAAATAATTACAAGGAAACTACAAATGGCGAAGTAGTAGCATTGCAGTTACTATGCAACAATATAATATGCCATACAATCTAAAAGAATAGGTAATTAATTTTGTCTTCTATGCTTCAAGTGACTGCAATATAAACTATTCATATTTTTATTATCATTTGGAAAACTTTTATGTATTTCAATAATCAATTAATTTGAACGTGATAATGTTTATGCCGCAATAAATTAAATGATGTCGTTGTTCTTTATCGTTTAGAAACTATGCATAAATTTCGAAATTTATCAATTTTATCTAAATATATCAAAAACTAATCAAATATCTCTTTAAATTTTCTTTCAACTAAAGATATTAATTAGATTTGGTAAGATTACCAACGTTAACTACAATTGAAGCCGATCTATGGCCTTAAATGCATTATACCAAATTCCACACTTAAGAAAACAACCAGTATTTCAAGAACGAAGACTCCCATACTCATAGAGCCATCTTTGGTTTTGAAATCAGTAAAAAGGCAACAAAAGTAGTCAGACCATTTTTCATTAACTCGGTTAGTTCCTGGGAAATGTGGTCTTTCCTCCACTAAAGGTCCTCTAGAAGCATATAGGTGAAAATTGTGGAGAGTGGTGGGGAAAAAATTGGTTCAATGATTTCAAAAAATTATACTTCTGGATAGATTAAAATCTGAAATAATTTCTTTACAAGACAATCCATTGCCCCTTCTAGAATTATCCTCAGAACCTGTAATTTCTAACCTTGGTAGTGCGGTTATGTTCTTATGAATTTCATATTTTGATATTTGAACAGCCATATTTGTGATATTAAAAAGATGAAAACAACTTTTGGGGCTTTGGGACGCAACTAAAAACATAATATTGGATAACACCTTTGCACACAGTGCCAGCCATGAACCATGTAAGACTGAGTTAGTTCAGTCACAGGGCTTCTACTTACCAGCAAGATCGCAATCTATTACTTTTGAGCACAATAGTAAAATAAAATAAAAAAGTAAAGCACATGGAATAATAAACTGAGAATAATTGTTTTGCACCTCTCAATTTGTTTAAACGAATTTATGAAGTTTAACCACTTGCTTGGTTTTATTGCAACCCTTTCTCTCTGAAATAAACTTAAACTCCTTAACTGTAAACTAATAAAAATTGACATGTACTGTTACCAACATTTAATGTTTCTACTTATTATGGAATAAATTACAATAAAACATCACAATAAAAAAAATGCAAACGGCATGTTAAAAACCATGTGTATTTCTTTAATCCAAACACGCCACCCTGCAGGTTGATACTATTACCATCACTACCAACGGAACTTAATGAAACAGAAATGTAAACTATACCGCTGAGACTATAACCTCAAACAACACACGGGGTGCCGTGCGGACAATGACAAGTGCAGGGCGTGCATGAAGCGATACTCAAAACTAGGTGCGGACATTCTAGAATTTGAAAACCTGAAGGATATATCCCCTCCTCCCACAAAATAATGAACTTTATATCAGTTTGAAATTTTCGGGTGAGTAGGAAAAAATTAGAAGTGACACAAGCATTAGATCAACTGGTCGCAGCAGTCCATGTAACCAAAGTTTACAGAATAATATATAAGTTGCCTTACTCGAGATCGCCCCCGCGGCCGCTGTTGATGTTGAGTGTTGTTTGTCAAGTTAGATAATGGGCGAGTTTCAAAGTCAACAAATCAAATTTAGTGCGTTTCTTATTGGATTCTTTTGATAAATTTCAATTATGCCATTCCCATAACTTATAATATTAACCCATTTTTTAAAGAATTATTAATAGTAAATAAAATTAAGTGATTATTTTTACAGCCTATCCTTTCTGAAACCCGCCCTTAAAAATCGCAAATCCTGATGAAAGGCCTTACACCGGAGTCGCATTTAGCTTTTGATTTTAAAGTAGCAAAGCCTTTTACTCCAACTTGTGTCCCATACCAAGTCAACTAACAGTCAATAAATGGGTTACTAATTTTTTTCCTACTCGCTCTGTAAAATACCTAATTATACACTGATCTGCACGACAACAACAAAAGGTTGATAATATATTCACCACATTCAATCTAAATACCGAACTGATGCCTTAATTACCTATTTAATTTTAACATATTTTATATGACAATATCCTATACTTTGTTAAAACAAACAAAAATTTGTCTCATTGTCAGTCGCTCTGCTCATGCCAAATAAAAGTGTGACTTAAAAAGTTTACCGAACTGACGCATGCTACATCGGTGTATAATTAGGTATTTTACAGAGCTATTAAGAATAATGTTAATTTTATAAAATGAGCAATCCTTGCGTACGTACAAAAATTGCAACACCTCTACAGCTTAAATCAATTCGACAGTTTTGAATACAAAGTAAATCGATATCTTTATAGTCATCCATTGCTCCTTTTGAAACACACCATGCACCTGCCTAATAAACTGATAACTTAAATGCCGTCTACCACACTCGTGCGTAATAATATTATACTATTATCATCCAAAATGTGAATCAACTCATCCCGTCAACAATTGGTTTTAAAACGCCGAATTTTAAATGCACTCGCATATTTGAAACATTCGACTCGAATATCCACATTTTTGTTTTGTGTTTCAGTGCGCAATAATATTTAATCTTCTATGTTCTGTGAATAACAACTTCCGAAGCTGTAAAAACAAGTGACGTTTTTAAAACTTTAAAATGACGACTGGGCACAATACCCTACCCTAAAGCAAAACAAGAATTGTTTTGCTGTACTTTGTTTGAGGGTATTGAAAGTCAACATTTTCTCAACGTTTGCTCAAAAACAAAACGAAAAAAAGGCTATGACTTGAGATTGACTATTTTTATATAAATGTTTCAAATATCTCCTTGGAATATGCTGTTCAACCTAAAGAGGCATTACTAAATAGGCATTATCAGAAAAGTCAATGTAAACTTTGAATAAAGTATTACATTTTAACTAGATGGTCACAATTATTTACAATGAAAGAAATTATCATTAGCATAAAGAAAGAAGTCCCACAACCTACCCTAAGACCGAATCTCCATTTTGGTGCCTATAGCAGAAATCTCTGCCTGGCATCGAAGTAATCCTACATGGGGTCCCGGTTCTCGTTTTCGCATGGCAAGCGCTTCTGGAACTTGCATTTAGGACCAGTGGCGTGGCACTTCTTGATCTTGATCTCACGGAATAAGTTCCAACTCTAGACCTGGGCGGAGTTAAGGACTGATATTCGAAACGATCATTTACATCTAATTCGCGAGATTCAAAGTTGGATTGGTAATCGTAAACATCAGCTTCAGAGCCGATATCTAAATCGTGTAAGTTGGGTGATTCTGAACCATATTTTTTCTGGGACGTTTCCGACTTGGACCACGAGATGGCGCCATTTATCCTGCCTCGAATATTTACAGCTGATATGATAAAAGTTTGAACTGAAACCAAAAGTTATGGTCATCGTATTGTCCATTATGTCAATTTACCAGTTAGTGATTCTCAACAAACACTTTAACAGGGAGATCACAATATTGTTGCTAATTAGCAAATTTACTTACTGCACACAAAAATACCAATAACAATCCCTAAGGTGACAGGTTCCAAATGTTCCCGACTATAGAGGGCGACAATCATGTTCATGGGTGGCAAGGTTGCTATGACCAATCTAGTACTGGTCCTAGCTGAGAGAAAAGCACATGACAACATAGCCACCAACATAAACGAAATGTGCCAAAATATTATGTATATTCTTTCAACTGCCGAGTCTGTACCACCTAAAAGAAAACAATTATCACATTGCATTTTAAGTAATTTTTTACTATTTGTACTATCTGAACAAAATACTTTAAAATTTATTTCTAATTATAACACCTAAATATTTCACTTCAACTTAAATTAAATTAAATTAAAATTCGGTGGCATAATTTGCATGAATCATAATAATTTATACTATAGTTATACTATATATACTGGAAAAAATGAGATATATTAAATACAAACATCCATTTTTAGTGACAGCACAATGGGCAAGGTGATGATCATGGTTCTACAAACTGTTATAGCAACAACAACCATTGTTATATCAGCACAAATAGCCATTTAATAAAATTGTTGATTTAACACTGGTATTTTACTACAAATGGGGATGAACATCAACAATACATAAATTTTACCTAAAGCAGTCATTATCCAACTCAGTCTATCTTCTAAAGCTTGTCTGGTGCCCCCTAAAAGACCAACCAAATCATGCACTGTCCTATTTACTTCCTGAAGATTCCTTAAAGTATCCTGGTATTGTTTCTGAAAATTCTTGTTTTGTGTCAATAAAATCTCAGAATAATCATCTAAAACATGCTGTTACAATATAAATTTAATCAATTAAAGACTCTTTAAATACCAATTTTTTTGAACAGATCAACAGCTTTTTGGTGAAGACCAGTCAAATCATCCAGCAGCTCCTTATGATTCACTCGGCTCTCAATATTTTGATTTTGTAATAGTTCAGCTGACATATCCAATCTGCTTTGAACATCTTTGGTCATTTGAACTAGTTCTTCATGTGTTTCATGAATAAGACGCTTTTCATCTATCAGTCGAATAATATTATTTTCCAGCACTAGTTGCCCATGCAGCTGGGCCTTTTGCATATCTCTTTGTTGCTCTGAGAGATGTTTATGAGCTGAAATTTAAAAGTTAATGTTAGCCTTTCTCATCTTTTAACAGGATATATTATAAATTTGGGGTAGCAAAAATTCACCTTTATTAAGAGTCTCATATGTACTTTCCGCAACATTTTTTATAGTTTCCTGATTCAGGGTAATCTCACCCAATGATTTTAACTGGTCTTTCGAGGCTTCCATTAATCGGTTCACAGTGTGCTCTGCTAAACCTCTAAATTGACTCTGTCTTATCATATAACACACTGACCGAGCTCGGTTGCTCATCAAATGGTAACTGGTCCATGTATCAGAATCCATATTTGTGGTACACTCTTTTATCGACATTTCCTCTGTACAAGGATAGATTTTACGACCTTCTATATATGATTGGCAATTTAAAAGATGAACGGCAACCTTGGCTAGTTGTTCATCATTCAGCTTATTACAATCGCTTTTTAATTTCAATATAACCCTCTGCTGACAAGAATCAAGCTCAGATATTGCCACTCCAGTTAGTTTAACAGCCTCCTCGATGAATTTCTGATCAACTGTCGACACTTCGTATGGTACAGTTTGGCTAAATTCGGCGGCAGAATTTTCATTACCTCCATTGTACCCGAAATAATTCTTTACACTTGTTAAGTAATCGTACACTGCTCCATTAGCAGCACATATATTCAGCAAAAGAAGCAGGAAAAGCATTTCAACCTTAAATAACGGTCTATTTTTGAATGCAGTAGGACCGTTACAATCTTCGGCAGGTGGATGAACGTTGACAGTTCAAATTTCTAAACATTGCGACCGCGGCAAAAACGCGATAAAAACGAGGCTGAGATCTTGCAAAAGTAATCATGTCATAGTAACGAAAGAAGAACATGAAGGTGATCAGTATTGCCAATGGATGTTTGCGAACGGATAATTTTTTATCTTAGAAGAAATTGGATCGAGTAACGAACCGTGTTGGATGGTAAAATACGTATAGAATTTATACTTTATAAATTATGTATCGTATGATTGAAAATAACTATCCTCTTTTATATAACGTTACTCTTCTATTGGATGTGGCCAAGTCACCGTGGACTGAAGGCAAAGAAGAATTAATTGTTCTGCGTTCAAAATGTCAACCGTATATAAGGTTATATTTTTCGAATAAGGAAAAAATAACGAATTGACAATTCTTACAAGCTCCAATAAGAATGAATAATTACCTGAGATTCATCAAATGCACCACTCGAACTAATGGCTATTTGTATCAAACAGTCGTTAGAAATGTACCAAGTTTAACAAGTAAAACTAACCAGGAGCAGAGGAGACACTATAAAAATTTCGGGCACAAAGAGGAACCCACCCCTACTCTTTCGAAACTCTGGTACTCCTTTTTGGGTATCGTTTTTACCGCTTCTTTAATCGATTATCGATGGTAGGTTCTTGACCAACTGTTTTTTTTTTCAACATTTTGTTGGATTTTTGTTTAGGGTTAGCAGATACTTTTCGGTGAAAGCACGATCATCCACCATTGAAGCCTCAGACTCTGAAGTTGAACAAAAAACGGAAGATAGTCATGATGAAGATAGCAAGAAAAAAAAACACAGAAAGGAAAAGATTGGGTTTAGAGACCGAAAGGTTGGTGAATCTCCATAAACAATTTAATTTTTTTAAATGGAGAATGTTGATTTTGGGAATATAGTATAATTGAATTAGCATATTGCCGTTTTATTCATACATAAAATTCGATTCATCTTTTATAATAAAAATTTGGTTTTTCCACTAATTTGGATTATTTAATATAATTAATTTTTATTGCAATATTTAGATAATAGACTATGAAAATCGATTGAGAGCTTATTCCACACCAGACAAGATATTTCGCTATTTTGCTACAATAAAATTGGTCAGTAGCGAATCCAATGAAGTGTACATGACACCTGATGATTTTTTGAGGGCTATAACCCCGGGAATGAAGCAACCTGATGGTAAAAATTCATCAGTTTTGCATTTGCTTGGTGTGGGCATCTTGGTGGTTTCTACTCAATTAATAATTAAATTAATTGCTTGAAGAAATAAAGATACAGAAAAACAGATTTTTGTCTTGTTGTGTTAATTTGGTTAAATCTGCAAATACATTTGTTTTTTGTTCTATCTATTTTTTTACTTATAACATTGTTTTGAAACTTTTTTTTTCTTTTTTTAATTTTCTAATAATTTAAATATTAATCATAACGATTCTGTGATGTGGTATGACTAATGCTCGAATGCTTATCTAATATTTTTCCAAGGAAGTTAATGACTGGAATTTGGTTTTCCAAAATATACAGGCTGCAGCTGGTTTCTTATTTTTGTATAATAGTTCAAAGTTACATCGAATTTTTAAGAAGCTTTCATATTCCAGCACACAGAGACCAGAAACAGTCATTAGCTTTTGAAATACTGGATCTCTAGTCCTAGCTGTTCCAATCCATAACCCCTTGCTTATCCGCTGTAGATTATTGAATACGAGAATCGTATCCGTCACTATTCCACGCCGGACAAGGTGTTTCGCTACTTTGCCACGTTGCAGGCACAAGGTCCTACACCGGATCAGCACGAGATCTACATGACGCCTGATGATTTTTTACGTTCAATGACCCCTGGACTTAAACAACCTGACGGTTAGTTAACTATCAATCAATATAGATATTTCTTTATTTATTTAAATATTTTGTCTCTTAGTAGATATAACTGTTTTATTTATTTATTTATTTATAAAGGGGATCACCCCCATTACAAAACGAAAATGGTACATTTCACTTAACAAAGACTAAGACTACCTACCCCTTATCCATAAACATCACATAAATCTGAACGCAATCGTAAAAAACAATTATTTACCTGGTTGCTTCTTTTTTCGCAAAATTTAATAAACAATCTTGCTGCCTTGACATAGTTTAAATGTGATAGTTGTAATATAACTATGATCACCAATAAAACCACTCAATTAAAATGTGTTTGTTGTAGTAAGAGACTAATTCCAAAATGATTAGATTGAAATTATTATTCTAGTGACGCCCTGAAAGGCAAGGTAATTAATATTTTTAAAAAAAGAACAATTGACAAGTGTCATCAAAAGCTGCAAAACACACATGTCATATATGATGTCTATATGGATGTCTATATGATCTTTAGGAATACAAAACGAAAATGGTACATTTCACTTAACAAAGACTAAGACTACCTACGCCTTATCCATAAACATCATATAAATCTGAACGCAATCGTAAAAAAATAACAATTATTTACCTGGTTGCTTCTTTTTTCGCAAAATTTAATAAACAATCTTGCTGCCTTAACGTAGTTTAAATGTGATAGTTGTAATATAATTATGATCACCAATAAAACCACTCCATCAAAATTTGTTTGTTGTAGTAAGAGACTAATTCCAAAATTATTAGATTGAAATTATTATTCTAGTGACGCCCTGAAAGGCAACGTAATTAATATTTTTCAAAAAAGAACAATTGAAATTTTACGGCTTGTTATAAATTTTTTGATTTGCAAATTGTCTAAAATGTTTGATTTTAGAATATATAGATAATTTTTGACAATGTCCTCTCAAATACCAAAATGATTCCACCCTAAGCTGTTATTAACATATCCTGAATTTTCTCTAACAAATGTCACCATCCTTTACCAAAACTTAGCTTTTGCTTGTGTTTCGCAGGTGGCGAAAACCTAGTATAATCTAATATTTGCTTGATTATTCTCTATCCCTGCTCTAACCCTCTAACCTTCGCCTGTTTTTTTTATTTAGAGCTTCTCGAACTGACATGTATTTGTACAAACTTATTATCAGTTATTATTTCAAATGTAATTTTTAACGCTAACATCGTTTTTGTAGGATTGGGCCTGGATCAATACAAACGGTATGACCCCAAAGTAAGTTTACTTCATCTATTTCTATTAGGAATTTCTGTCTGTTTAAACATGTGGTATTTATGGTATTTAGTAACACTCTATTACTTGTACAACTATGTCTTCGATCCGTAAATAGTGGATGTATGTCTTTAATGTTTCCTACTTATTTTTTTCAGCACGGTTTACAGGTAATACAATTTTGTAGTAGACACTCTCATTTTACTTTGCATGCGTTTGACTCAATGTATATGTTTTAACCCTTTTCAAACTCCAGTCTTGTCACTCATCCCTTAGGGCTATATGAGTTTGTTTGATGAGAAGCTTTCAAAGTTTTGCTTTTTGGAAAGCTGCATTGTATTTTTGAAACTGTATCGATACTTTAGTATATAATGGATGAGACAACCAGTGGGAAGTGTCAATAACATTTAAAGTTAATGAAAGTTAATACGTTTTTAAGGCTGAGAATAAACAAATTTTGAATCTGACTGCAATTTCACAGCAATATATAAAAAATCTGATATAAAATAAATTTAGACTCTAAATTTGACTTTTTTAAATCCTACTGCGTGCAGAATGCAATGGACATTTAGTATTAACTAAAGATTTTAAATTTTATTAACAAGAAAAAGAAGAGTTCTGGAGGCATTTGTGTATTTAGTGTTTTCTCTTGAAATTTTGACATATTGAAACCTATAATGTATTTTCTTTTTTTAATGCCAAGTGCAAAGAAAGGAAACGGACTTGGTAAACAATAAATGCGCTTAATTCAACACGTTTTCACTACTCAAATAATAAGTATATTTTCTGAATTAGTCAATTTATTAGGTCACTCTAGGATGAAACTTTTTTTTCTTACTTTACCTTTCTACGATAGATTTGGTTGGCTGCTTTAAAGGCTTCCAAATATTTAATCAGCGAGTCTGGCATTAAAAAAATTCTTTTCATTCACAATGAAAATATTGACGTCACTCAGATAGTTTCCACATTCGCACCGCTTATTGCAGCTAGAAAGTAGATCAAGCAAAGTTAATTATTGGCATATAGTCTTAAAAACTTCGCAAATGGGTCCCTATAAGAACGAAAAAGGAGAAACTTAGACAGGCAACAAAATGTTTATGTAGGTTCTTTTCTACTTTACTCACGGATTTTTTATCTAAAACTAACGTGTTGTATATAAAGTGTTGCTGACTATATTTCCGTTAATATTTTTGGAATTGAACTAATATTTTACGGGTTTGTCTTGACTCCTCTAATTTCGGTATTAATTGACTTCATTAATATTTCTATACAAATGCAAAACACTAAAAAGTAAAACACTAATATGAACTGAATATACTCCGGTCCGGTATATATTGACACCTACGCACAACTATGTGGGAGGGGGGGGGGGAATTTCTAACAAGTGACAAGTCACTTCCAACCAGAGCACTTTCTCTGGCCCTATCTAACGATTTAATCATTATATATTCCTTTGACCGCCTCAATTCGGTTTGAATTTCATCCGCCCGGACCAATTATTTTCGTTCAGCTTCGCTAGGCGGTTTAAGTTAGAGACACACACTTGCAATTCTTATATTAGATACTTATATACAGTGAACGCTTAAAGGATGGGACCCTCTTTTATTTTTTGTACCCTTGTATCTAGCACGATGAAATTTGGCATGCACGTATATAATTAAATGTCTAATTTTTAACAAAAAACAATATCTCAAAATGACAGCAGGGCGCCATTTTAAGTTTTTTTTAAATGGTAAGGTGTTTTCACGTTCTATTCACGTACCAAATTTGATTCGTCAGTTTTCGCAAGACACAAAATTTAATTTAATACAAATAATAATTATTATTATTGTATATTAGAGAGTGCCAGATCATGTTAGATTACTTTCACTTTCAATGTCAAAATATTTAATTGTCTTGTCAGTGTGTGAAGTCCAAGACCTGTTAGAAAAATGGTTAAATGTAATTAAACAGGCGGGGATATGTAAAAAGTAAAATTTATGTTACAAAACCAAATTCAATCTGAAAGACAGAGTTCTAAAAACGGAGGTCCCGTCATTTAAGCGGGCACTGTATAGTTAGCTTGAGCTGAGGTTGCATTCAATACAAAATTTTGCAGTTTATTATGGACTCGTTCTTTATATTATATTATTCCTAATTAGGTACAAATTTTAAACTTTATTTTGCCTGCGTCTTGATTTGTTTTTGGTAGGTAGTTTAAGAAGACGAAGATAGATTATTGTGTAAAAGTATACTTTTTTATATAATTTTTTTAATATAATTATTTCGTTGGATTGCCTCGATATTTTAAAATAATTTCTTTTATTTTTGTATCGATACTAATTAGCCAAATTTTGATGTTACCTTGACTATACATTTAGATTTGAACACCTAGCTATAACAGCTATACTACAAAAAAATTACTATCTTCCGATAATTTGTTTGATGTGGTAGTGTGAATTTGTTATTGTTCGATAATAGCTTTCAAATAGGTTGGTTGTTAATTTGCTTAGATGAAGTAAGGATAACTAATTCTGTGTCTGGATTTCAAAATGCACAATTCAAATTGCGAACTGCAATTTTCCGTCCGATGGACACTGAAAAATATATACGATACGTATATATTGCTTGCAGAGCGAAGCTTTTTGTAAATAACGCGTTTGTTTAGACAGTGCAACAAAGACTGGAACTAGAACTAGAAGACGACAGCATATTTTACAGACTGGGTAGCGCAGGCCTAATCACATTCTCCGATTACATATTCCTTCTGACCGTCCTCTCAAGTGAGTTTATTAAATTTCAACAGTTTTGGGGCATTGGTGTGATGTTTTTTTAGCGTCTCGTCGACATTTCGAAATCGCCTTTAGGATGTTTGACTTAAACGGGGACGGCGATGTGGACTGCGAAGAATTTGAGAAGGTGGCAACGTTGATACGCCAGCAAACTAGTATCGGCTCGCGACACAGGGATCATGCAAATACGGGAAATACTTTTAAAGTACTTTTTAAGCTAGATTGAACTTTATTTTAAGTGTATATATATCGTGATCCATGACTTCATGAACGGTTCAGATTGATTCAAAACCACAATATTATATCTAGTAACTGCCCTCTTCCTCTCTCTCTCTCTCTCTCTCACACACACACACACACACACACACACACACACACACACACACACACACACACACACACACACACACACACACACACACACACACACACACACACACACACACACACACACACACACACACACACACACACACACACACACACACACACACACACACACACACACACACACACACACACACACACACACACACACACACACACACATACACACACTCGTGATTTTTATGAACAGCAATGTTTTCGTGACTAATTCCTCGAGAATTCAATGCGCATCATTAAAAAGCCGTAGCCAAAGTGCAAACGGCCAAGCTGACGAACTGACAGGCAATGTTCGACTTGTTGAATGCCAAGGTCTTAGTGCAAACTGTTCCGCAGACTGTCATCAGCCAAGGTAAAGCCTCTCTATACTCAATGTGTATAAATTTATGAGAAAAAAATACTAAATAGGTACCGGGACATATATGGAAATGGTACGGTGTTTCATAAAAAAGTCACTCAAAATTCGGAATACCTTGGAATAAGAGAGTAAAATATACCGTTTTTCGTTGGTTTGGTTGGTTAATTGGTTTTGAATAGATTTGGCAGCGTTGTATTTGCAAAAATGTTTCTAAAATATAAATTATTCCTTATCACAGCCATATACCAAACTTAATTTACACTCCCTGTGCTAAGATTCACGTTGCAATATTTTCTTTGTAAACTGCAATCTTCACGTATTTTTTTACCTTTAAGTTAACTGACAACTGACGAACCGTTAGCGCCCATATCCCAGTCGCGCATGCACAATATTGTTTTCTGTTGGCGTCAAAAGTATGTAAATGCATAGTTAAGCAGTCAAATCGAGAGTCAAATACTCTTCAACAATAAGTAGTTCGCTAAAATACTACAACATGTTACCACAATTATCAGATGTATTGCCACTACTTATATTAAGAATTACCAGAAAACTAAATTCGATCGCTTTTGCATTTCTAAAGAAGCCAATTTTTAGGGCGTCAATTCTGCTCTAACGACGTATTTCTTTGGGCCTAATCTTAAACAAAAGTTGACAATTGAAAAGTTCCTGGATTTCCAAGAGAGGCTCCAGAGGGAAATCCTTAGTTTGGAATTCCAAAGGAAGAACCCCGATGAGGACGGGAACATAAACGAAGCTGATTTCGCCGAACTTCTGCTTGCCTACGCTGGGTACCCTCAGAAAAAAAAAGCGAGGATGTTGAAGCGGGTAAAAAAAACGTAAGTCGGGTGTTTTTTTCTTGCTCATTTATATAAATTAAAATAATATAATAATAATAATTTAAAATATTTGTAAAAAATAAAGTTTATTAAGATCTAATTGCTAAAAAACCTACGAATAAAGCTAATACAAATTGTGTCGTCAGAAATTCAAAATATTTATTTTTTTCTAAACTTTTTAATAACGGTTTATTAACGTATTAATACTTATACACACCTTAATATGTACATACATTTGACCAAAGTGAAAACTGTTAAATTTTTAAAAATATTGATATATTTTTCTTCCTAATAATATGCATATTTTTATATCATACAAATGACGATATTCAAATTGACAATTTTTGGTATTACATGGAAATATTTTCTTTTTATAATCATGTTTCTGTGATGAAGTATAATTGCTTTAATTAACCGAGTAAATAAACTTTCTTTGGCCTGTATACGTTACTGCAACCAAATGCAACATTAAAATTTACCATTTTAAAAATTAAAAAAACCATTTACTTCGAACAAAAATGATAAACGATTGAAATGATTTTGCAAAGTACCAGTTAACAAACTATTTACCCTAAAAAACTCAAACGGGTAGAAAAATTGAGATAAAAAACAATCTTTTATTACAGTTTTCTGCTATTAATATTAAAGTGTATGACAAAAAAAAGAAAAGAATCTCCTTTACTACCCATCTCCTTCAAAATAAAATATCGGTTCTATTACCAGAACCATTCCAGTTTAAGATCCAGTTAACAGTTAAAGTGTATTATTAAGTAGAAGTGAAATTTAAAAAATCTACTGATTAGCCAAAACACGAATTCCGACTACACAATCTGATTTATATCACTCAACTGCCACCCCGAGTAGATTTTACGCACCCTTATAAATCAGGTTGGGACCAAAGCCGAGTTTAGTTTCAGAGATCACGGAAAAGGCGTTTCGAAACAGGATTATTTGAATTTTTTTCATTTCCTGAACAACATCAACGACGTCGATACGGCCCTGACTTTTTACCACATAGCTGGGGCGTCTATAGATCAGGCCACGTTGAAACATGTGGCCAAAACGGTGGCCCACGTAGATCTCAGCGATCATGTAATTCACGTCGTCTTCACTATTTTCGACGAAAATCGTAAGTATCACGCTTGCCATATTTGGCATGTTACCTATCAATTTATGAAACAACCTAGTTAAATTCTTCGCCAATAGGTTAAATTGGCATGTATAAAAATAAGGCCCCAATTCAATTTTTTTCAATGTTTTGTGTAGCTATAAATGAAGATGAATTTTAATTTTGTTCAATACTATCTGTAACCATAATTTTAAATTATAAATTAAAATTTGAAGATACGTTAAAAAGCCCTTTCCTATGGGATGTGGAAATTCTCCAGCAATATCGGATAATATCCAAGATTTAAGAATCAAAATCGAGTCCGACGTCAGACGGCATAAACTAATAAATATAGATCATAAACGACAGGTAAATCCCTAAATTTCTGCCAAATGTGAAAAGCATTCACCAAGTCTTTGGTAAAATGTTTGAAACCTTACAAAAAATCTCCTTTTATGCGTAACATTATTAACTAAAAAAGGTAAATTAAATAAATAAGGAAACTTTATATTTCTGTACGGTGTTTGCAGTTTGATTATTGAATTAACCCCAAATATTGTGAGAAATGTCAAATCTACCATTTACAATTTTTCGAATAGAGGACGGACAACTAAGCAATAAGGAGTTTATAGCCGTAATGAAGAACAGGTTACTTAGGGGCCTTGAAAAGCCGAAAGATACAGGGTTCGTGAAATTCATGCAGTCGGTTCTGAAATGTGCCAAAGAAACAAAACCCGCTTTACTGGATAATATATTTTAATGGCTCGGAATATTTAAGTTAATTTTAAGTTATGATGCTTGGTATCTATCTAAGTTTAATTATTTTTTACTGGAATGTTAAACCTATAAATTAAGAATAATAAAAAAAATAAGAAGGTATTTTTTTATTTACTTATAGGAATATAAAATAGCAAACCACATTTTTTCCACATACATGTACACCAAAATACAAATCTGGTAGGTATTATTTTGAACCTTAAAACATTCGAAAGCTACGAAGTAGAAGTACCACAACGGAAACATCTATATAGATGTTCTGGAATGAATAGGGAACAAATGCATTCTAGCAAAGACTATTGTGTGCCGCTTATCCAAAACTAGCCAGTCACAAGACTATTAGCTAAAAATCATCATTTTCACGGGTAGCTTTTAATATTCGATTCCTAATGCCGGCAATGGACGAATGCTCCTAGTGGTATTAATTAAACTTAAATGATAGGCTGTGACTGGTCGTTCGGGGTGTTCGGATTCAGTGGCTATTGCCACTTACTTTGGTTCGTAGCCAGTTGGCCTCAAAAAGTATTGAAATGAACGATTGATTGAAAAAAATTGGTCCTTTTCAAAATCGGTCACTGATGCGGTTTTCGTAAAATGAACATTGACAACACAACACTACTCGACGGTGTCTGCTATGAGTAATTGAAACTCAAAAAAAGAAGAAGAGCTCTTCTAACTTTGGTTAGATTGTCCTATGTAGTTTTGGGTGTTTACATATTTATTGTTTTCGTTTGAAAAAAAAAATGGATTTTAAAGTTCACAGCGCTTCTTTTAATTCTGTTTGTAGAATCTGCCTTAAAGCCACCGACAATTTGTCCTCTATTTTTGAAACGATTTTACCTCGCAACAGTCAGAACGACGATGAGAAAAGTACCTTTGCATCCCTATTTGAAAAATACTGTAAAATCAGGGTAATTTCCCAGAATAATGATTGTAACCCGACTGAAATCCGTTGAATTTTAGATTCATCATGATGATTTAAAGCCACAACAAATTTGCGTGGCTTGCAAGTCTTTGGCTCTGCAGTGCTGGGATTTTTTAAAAACTTTTTTATACTCTAACTCTTATCTAGACGAATTATTACTGGAGAACGAAAATAAACCTTTAATAGAAACAATAGAAAAAGTAGAATTGGATCTTTCAGAGTGCTCATTGAGTAATAATGATATGGGATTTGATGACACAAAGACTGAAATTGAATCTAGTTAGTGCTATCATTGTTTTATTCAGCTAATGCTTTATAGAATATATTTTTAGAAAAAAAACGTGCCACTCCACGAAAGCGAGTCCTAACTCAATTTAAAGATGGTGAAAGATTTGTATGTATACTTTGCCAGGAGATGTTTACAGACATTAACATAATCATTGATCATTTGGAAAACAAACATGGGAATGCTAAACAATGCCTCATTTGTGAAAAGAAAATTATTAAAAAGCCACTGTTATGGTATCATATGAGTCAACATTCAAAAAATTCTGTGCAGTGCAAACCATGTCGTCATTACTTTAGGTAAATTCATATGTATCATGAAACGATAAATTTATGAAATTACTAATGTTTTCCAATTTACTTAACACAAGTTTTTGCGCATAATTTTGCTACTACTTTCAGAAGTGAGGAATTGAAACAGGAACATCTAAACAAATATGACCATACAAATCCACTTGTTTGCCACATTTGTGGGAAAAAGTTCGCCTTAAAAGGTCGACGCGATAAGCACATGATAGCGCACTATGGGAAAAATCAGTATCAGTGCAGTGAGTGCGGCGATAGTTTTATATACAAAACTTCCTACATCCGACATTATAGGAAACATTTTGGAAAGGAATTTTTGTGCTATATTTGCGGAAAAGGTGTAGAATCTGAATTGCATCTACCTATGACCTTAACGATTTGTTTTCTTAGAATTTACAACCAATTTTAATGTTCAATTGCACATTAAACGAGAACATGAAGGTCTGAAGCCTGATCGAGCTGCCAGACGCCCTGAGCAGAAGCCCAGAACTTATAAAAAGAGAGTGACCATGATGGAAGAGGTACAATGTGAATACTGTGATGAGATATTACCATCCAAACCCAGCTATATTAGGCACAGGTTTTTTCCTTTTACTCATTGTTTAATATTATCTGTTTAATGTCTAATGTTGCAGACAAAACCATCCTGAATTTTGTGATTACCCATGCAAGCTTTGTAAAGCTCAGTTCACCACCAAAATAGATCTGAAAGAGCATATGACCGTCCATAACAAATTTGCATGCTCCCACTGCAATAAAGGATTTCCATTCAAGTGTATGTTGGATATGCATTATGTCAATCATAAGAATTTAAGCCTCAGCAAATTAAGGTAGCTTAATTTCATATTAAGTAATTGTGTAGACTGCTACTTAACAAAATAAAAGCACCAGATTGTTTGATATGTTAAAAAAACAAGCCAGTTTTCTGAGATTTGAGAATTCAAAGAACAACTTTTATGTAGCAAATATTACTATATTTTTCAAAGAAACATCCACCTGCTATTGTAATACTTTTTATAAAACTTCTGGATTCCTCCTGCGTCGGTTTTTGTTCGCTAGTTCGACTCAACAAAAACCGGCGCAGGAGGAATCCAGAAGTTTTATAAAAAGTAATTATTACTATAATTTTTGTTTCTTAATTTTATAACAGATGAATAAAATCGAAAAATTTTGGAACCCACTAAACGATAGTGATCCATTTTACCACATAATGTGTGTATTTCCCAAACACAACAAATTTAATAATTTTTGTGAAACTTCGTAAAGAGTGCTAATATGATTGTAATGATTTGGTGACACTATCTCCAAAGATATTCAATACAATATCCAGTCAACAACAAACTTACAAATGTTGAACCACTTGCCTTACTTCTGGAAGAAATAAGTTAATAATACACAAACTGTTTTGTGTTACAGATAATTAAGTGTTTAATAATTTAACATATTTTAATTTAAATTCCTTCTCTGTAAATTGCAAAAGATTGTAACACCTATAAAAACAAACATAAATGAAAGCGTCAAAATGGAAAAAACTTCTTATTCCTTATAATACCACACTTTTAATTATAATCCAATTATGAAAAAGAGAATTTTAGAGCTTGTTACTACAGGACCTAAATATAATTTATTGTATTCACAAATTCACAGCAGGTTCGCTTCGCAAAACATGAAGAGCACTCCTCGAGTCTTATTTTCTATGCAATATTATGACGTTATATAATAGATAAATTAATTAACAATATAACAAATTTCCGGAAGATGCTCGAAACATCTGCAATAAGTGTACTCCTCCAATAACACTACTATTCATTTCAATGTACTTCTGTGTTGTTTAAGTTGTTCGATCTGTGAATTACCTCAAAGAAACGCGAAAGATCTCAAGACCCACATGTTGATCCACACAGGGGAAAAGCCCTGCGTTTGTGAGATTTGCGGCAAGTCCTTCAGACAGCCGCCGCATCTTACCATCCATATGTATCAGCATACAGGCAAGAAGCCCCACAAATGCGAAGTGTGTGGCAAATCCTTCACTTTTCGATGTAATATGGTGTCGCATTTACGAATTCACACCGGTAGGTCTGTATTCATTTGTACCCGAAATTGTTATGAATTAATTTTTTTTTAGGAGAAAAACCATTTCCATGTCCCTATTGCGACAAAGCATTTCGTGACAGCACAATATTGCATAAGCACAAAAAGAAGAAACATCCGGCTCTGATGGACAAAGAAAAGAATGACTGATGGATACACAGTGGTTTTCTATTGTTTCACACAGTGTTATCCTATTATTCGTCGTTTGTTAATATTTTTTATGTATTTTCGTCATTATATTTTATTTAATTCTAATTACTCAATTTAGGGTTGAGTGGATAGGTACAGGGAAATTAAAATTAATTTCTCTCTGTGTTTGGGGTCCCGTTCACATTAACGCAATCGAAACAAACAAATTTATTATAAAAAAAACTGCACTAAACTCTTAAGAAACGTGATGTGGATGGTTGCGAAAAATGCAAAACTTAAATAGTTCAACTTAAAACTTTTTTGTTTTAAGTTGAACTATTTTCTAATGCGTAGTAATCGAAATACTTTCCTTACTTTTTGCTTTGTTACCAGGGTGACGCACGTATTGAAATATGTGATATTATGTAGCGTTTGGCATTACCAAGGCGATAGCAGAAAGTATCCAAAATTAAAAAAATTAACTGCCTCCAGGGAGGACCACCTTGACGGTTTGGCAGCACCAAGGCGATAACAGAAATGAACCAAAATTGAAAAAACTCAACCTCCTTCACAGCAACTAATAAGAAAAGTATTTCGATTACTACGGATTATAAAATAGTTATAACTAAAATACTTAACGATTTAGTGTAGTTATTTTTATAGTAAATTTGATGGTTACGATTGCGCTAATGTGTGACAGTACCCTGTGGTCGAGTTCAAATATCAGCTTATAAGTCAAGGTCAAATCTAGTAAAAAATTGATATTTTTTGGGTCGAGATAATGATTCCAGAAGTTCATATCTAAGAAATAATAAAAATTGAAAATGAAAATTACTCTAAGCAAAAAGTTATAAAAAGGACAACCATTAGTTTTACGTTTCAAATAGAAGATATGGGGGTAGTCTATGGTGGTCTAAATATTCATGATTATGGAAATAGGAGAGGATAGTGGGAAGGTTACTAATATAGTGGGTGATATACTACATCCTTCTTCAATCTAAAGATTTTGGTATTAGATTGCAAGACTAAACTATATTATGATACTAGAATAAGAATAACTTAAGAAACTTGTTTGGAGTGATCCAGTCACGGATTTTTAACAAGTCAATTGCAAGCAACACTCTGCTGCGTCAACGTAAGTGCACAACAATTACAACAGTTGCTAATCTAACTAAGATTGGTTCTGCATTGAAAGTGTACAAAGGCGACTATGAGTTCACGCTTCACAAACGTCAACAAACGGCCATGCGCATCACATGCCAAATGTATTTTGCCGTAAATGCTTGTGTGCTTTTTCAGTGGGCGAATAGACTAAAGTAATTGTCCAACACGTAGAATCACGATTCTGTAACCTTTAATATGATCTATGGTTATTTTGGTATTCTATAAAGAAGAAGAGGATAATCAAGTGTGAAGATTTTCTTATCTCTGTTATTTTTAAGTATTTCATGGTGTGCGTTTTGTGTTCCGTCGTTTTGCGAGAAACATGAAACGCATTCAAAAAATGAAAATAGCGACTTTTTCCATTTCCTCGGATTCGGTAGATACGATGTGTCGTGTCTGTTTGGCTGAGGGAGTCGACACTTTAACTTCGATATACGAAGTAAACTTGATGAACAACATGGAAGAAGGTTGTGCTAAAAGTAAGGAAGTGGATTTGGTGAGCCTTTTGCAGGATTATTGCAATATCAAGGTATGACGAGACTGATGAGAGTAACGAATACATGCGAACTCTGTTGATCTTATTTCGTCTTCCAGGTTCACAAAAACGATGGCAAACCGCAAAAGATCTGCGCGGGTTGCATAGATTGGGTTTGCCAGTCCTATAGCTTTTTCTTAACATTTGTACGCTCAAACGATATCTTGAACGAGGTTTTAAAACATCAAAAGAAAAATGATGATGGGACTGTTGATTCCGACATCAAAGATATAGTAGTTACAGACTATGCAGATGTTAATTTGGGATGTGGTTTAGCAGATAATGAGAATGTGGGGATTGTTGAATATGAAGAAATGGAAGATGAAAGTATCATCAAAGATGAAGTGAACAACTCTGGTTCCAGTGATGAAGGTACATGGTTATTTCAAATTGGACAAAGTCACATCTGAAATCAACTTTGTTTTCAGACACGGACCGAGCTGAATTGCTGTCAACTGAAGAAACTTATTTTTTGTGTTCTATTTGCAGTGAGACATTTGAAACAATTCATAAAATTATTGACCACCATTATGAAAGTCATGAAGATGATCCTCGATGCCCCATCTGTCTTTCGGAAGGTAAAATTTATATAATAACAATAATGACAATTTTATAATAATATTTTTTCAGATAATACGGATAATTTGAAGTATCATATCAGTTTGCATTCAAAGAGTCATTCCTCTTGTGTAAGGTGTTTGAAATACTTTAGCTCAAAGGCAGACTTTAAAAGGCACCTATGCCACAAAAAAGTAAGAATTGGTGGGAAATCTAACATGGGTAAAAAGAAGAGTACACCAGCAGGAGAATTCCCTTGCACTATTTGTGGGAAAAGTGGGTGTAAAAAAGTGGTTGTCTATAAAATTTGAATGTTTTTGACTTTTAGAGTATACTACAAAGTTGGCATTGAGAACTCACTCTCATATAGCTCACCAAAACCTGTCCAAGGCCAGTGGGCCACCTGCCGGTTATAAAAAGGGACAGTATGTACAGTGTGATTTCTGCGACAAGGTGATAACCTCCATTCCTGCTTACAAGAATCATCTCAGTATCCATCCAGAATTTACAAACTATGATTGTCGGTTTTGTAACGAAGTGTACTCAACAAGGACTGAGTATCGAGAGCACTTAAATGTTCACAAGAAGTATGAGTGTGAGCATTGTGGGAAAAAATTCATCCTAAAGTGTGATTTTATCGAGCATGAGCAAGGACATATGGATGGCAAAAGCAACCCAGGAAAATTCCAGTTAGTAAAATAATTTTACCTGTCTGATATTAATCCCCATCCATCAATGTTTTTTTTTGTTGCACCTCATAAAGTGTGTTGTCGGCACACATTAAGCATAAAAAATCAATAAAATTACACAAACAGAGCTCACCCTGCAAACAAATATCTTTTTAATTTTTTTTTTCTTTTATGCAAAACCTACAAAATGTTAACATTGTTAAAATATTCGATGAAAGCAACAGTTATAGGCTGAATAGAACCTCTGAACAGTGAAAGGAACTGGTTTAGTGTAGGAAATGAGTGAAGAGGTTGTACATGAAAAGAGAAAATACAAAAATATACTGAAAACAAGCAGCATATAAGTGGCAAAAATTTGAAAATTAGGAACTAAAGTAATGGTGGTAGAGACAATTCGGCTACAATATTTTCTAGACAGAGGTACATCTGAATATACTGGAAGTGGGTGTCAACTTTCTTATTTATATTTATTATTATATATTTTATGCATAATATCCTAGTCTTAACTTTCACCATTTCTGTGATATTTAATATTTCATGTTGAAAATGATATTTGTAGACTGCAAATTTTTCCCATACAGATTCTTTTAAAATTTCGCTCTATTAACTTACCCTGTTGAAAATGATCAATTAATAACATTGAACTGTCAAAATTCATTCTTTTCAAATGGAAACCACATATTTTTAGTCCTATCGTGTTTAGAATTAAAATTTGGGACTACTTTGTATTAGGTTTGGTTAAGTTAACGTTCAGTTAATCTGAGCACGACGTAGAAAAACAAAAGAGTCTCAAAGATACTTGTATATAGTCAGTTGGGATATAGAATAACATATAATTAAAAATAATTATGGCAGGAAGATTCTTTGAATTTGATGATTATTTATGGTGAATGCCACAAAATTTTAACCAGGACATGCGATACCTTGGCGATTCGTTATGCGCAAAAACAGAGAGTATAGAAAATCTCACAAACTTTAAGTCATTCAATCATGCAACGAAATAAGTTTGTTGTTAATAATGCAAATACGAAAATCTTAAAATAGCCATTTTAGACTATTTTGTTACATATCCGGGCGAATCAAAGTCATCAATTCATAGAATCTCAAACAAACTTCCTAACATTTATCTTATTTTTGTTGATATTATTTTTTATATGACAAATAACAACATCTTTGTGACTTTTTTGTTTTTCTACGCCGCGCCAGTGCAGCTGGTCGTCATGGTTTACTCAAGTTAATTGAACGTTAAAAGCGGTCTAAGTGAAAAAAATTAATAAACATCTTGAAAAATATAAATATTCAGAATGTACAACTTTGTTTTCAGACACGCGCCGAGTTGAATTGCTGTCAATTGAAGAAACTTATTTTTTGTGTTTGTGTTTTTGCAATCCTAAGTAGTCCTAATAAAAATAAGTGGTGTACATTTTGAAAAATATTTTTGTCAGTTTTTCAATTTAATTTTAATTGTCAATTTTTAAACATCCTGTATTATTAACAATTACTTTCTAAATTTGTTCTACTGGGTAAGTTAATAGAGTAAAATGTTAATAATTGTTCAGCTTTCAAACATTATTTTTGATGTAAAATGTTAAATATCCCGAAAACACTGAAATTTGGGTGTAGGATATTATACGAAATGTGTGGAATTTTTCGGAAATCCAAAAAAAGCATTAATATATAGGGTGTTCCATTTAAAATAAAATTTTAGCAGGATTGCCTCCGCCATCATTAGTTTAATTCCAAATTTTTGCTGCTTACAATTTTCGTATAGCGGCCCATTTTATTCATTTCATCTACGACCCTATATATTTTTAGGTGCGAAGTATGTGGAGCCGCATTTAAACTAAAATACAGCTTACATGATCATTTGTTGATTCATTCTCAAGCCAAACCACACAAATGTACTATATGCGGGAAGGCGTTCCGTCAGACATCGCATTTAAGAATCCACAGGTACCAGCACAATGTAGTGAAGCCGTTTAAATGCGACATTTGTGATCGTCGTTTTGTGTATAAATGCAACTTAGTGTCGCACATTCGCATACATACAGGTGATTTGTTTGTTGGTCGAGTTCAATCCGACGCCTTATGGAATGTACTTTATAGGTGAAAAACCCTATCCCTGTCCCTATTGCGAGAAATGGTTCAGGGATTCCATAATGTTGCACAAGCATAAAAAGTCCAAACATCCGGAGATGTTGCTGCAGAATGTCGATGTGTCGATCAAGATGGATGAAGGGGACAACATTTCCGACGAATAGACTTAAAATAAGCCCATTTATCATTACTTGATTGTATTTATTTGTTTAAAATATGTGACAGTTATATTTCATTGAATGTCTAGGGTTATGCCAAGAGCCAACAGTATGTTGTATCAATAATAATTTAGTTTGCTGCATTTTGATGTTTTTTTTATTGAGAGGATTACCATTGTTTGCAAGTGACAATGATACTAGTGAAGTCTATGTTGATGTAAGGGATCGCAAATTCACCATTAGTTTTGGGCTCCTTTAAAAAAAATGTTTACTCAACAGTGTATAATGCTCGTTTTAAAACGGAGCTAATCTGAACCGCGTAGCTTAGTCCGTTCGAAACTTCTATTAATATTGTTAGATCAAACAACGATTAAACATGAATTAAACTACTGTAAAATACTTGCTGTTTGGTCCGCGGGTCATTTAAGATTACTAATGTTACTAAGTCAGTCGGTGAACATAGCTTCTGAAGTAAAATCATTAAATAGTAAACATCGACATTTGTCTTTAGTACGGCTATCAAAACCAACAGTAACCAGCATTAACCCAAAAGACTGAGAATATAAATTCTAAATCATTCGTAGCACCATTCGTAAAAATTAGGAAGCAATATTCAGCGGCAGGACAGTTTTCAGTACTCAAAATATCAAATTATTTCAAGAATCGATTTTCCGTTTACTCTACTGACCAAACTGACCAACGCATTGCAACCACAGTATGTTTTCCTTTTTTTTATTTATTTAATTGTTAATCGACTAAATCAACAAATCTTCTGTCCACTTGCATTGGCTTTTGCTGAATCGAACTTACTGAAGTTTCGCTAATCATCCCGTTGGTTTTTTCTTCAGAGCTTAACTGAAATGCAGAAGATTTGTTAATACTACAATAATACTGTTATGCTGTGCCGAAAATGACCTAGCTTGGTGTTCTGTGGTAGTTCCATTTCATCCGGGTTTTAGGTTTTCTTAATAACTGTTGTATAAAAATGAGCGAAAATGAGTTATCGGCTGTAGAAGCCGAGCTCTACGATAGACAAATACGTTTATGGGGCATCGAATCTCAAGAAAGGTTGGTTCCGAAACTTCAACTAATATCTGGTATTAATTACTAACTCTTAGACTCCGAGCCGCTAACGTTTTGCTAATTGGCGTAAGAGGACTAGGATCGGAAATAGCAAAAAATATATTGTTGACTGGTGTAAATTCATTGGTCATTCTCGATGATGGTATTGTTACCGAAGAAGAACAGAACAAGAACTTTCTTTTGAATAGAGGCAGTGAGGGCAAGAAAGTAAGGGCACGGGTTGTCGCTTTGGATACATTTGAGACCATTTTTACTGTTTTAGATTGCGGAAGAGGTGCTTATAAAAGCTCAAGCCTTAAATCCATTAGTGAAATTGTCGGCCGATACTTCTGCACCAGCAGAAAAAGAAGCATTCTTCTTTGAAAGTTTCACCATTATTGTAGCAACAGGCATTAAAACAGATCTCCTTTTCAAAATAGATAGAATATGCCGTGCCAACAAAATAAAACTCATTGCTGGGGATGTTTTTGGTTCATTTGGGTATTCTGTGAATGACTTTCAAGATCATCATTACATTGCGTAAATAATGGGTTAATGAATGTGTTCACTTTAGATACTTTGATTGTTTTAGAGATCAGCCTAAACTGTTAGGCAAAAAACGTGGTCATGATAGTAAAGAAACAAAAGCAGAAAGAGAAATTTTAAAAGTAAAAGGAGAGATTAAGTATCCAGAACTGTATAAAGTTATCATCTTGCCCAACAAAAAGCAAAATGCAGACTGTATTAAGAAATCAAAAAGGAGGAATGAATATTTGTTTCTTATGTTGAGTATGTATTTCTATTCTATTTCTATTTTTAATTTTTCCATAAAAGATTTCATTTACTAGGGAAGAACTTGCAATTGAGTCGTATAAAATTATGTTTTTGAATTTCCTAGAAGAGTGTTTTAATAAATGTAACTCACATATTGGTGTTATATCAGATCTATGAAATTACTGATCCAGAGATGTAAAAAGCCCAACACTTAACTTTTTGACATACACCATTCTAATCTGACTTACAATAACATAGGAGTGTATCAATTTAATATAATCAATTTCAACACTTGCTTTTTGGTGAAACCAAAACAAACTTAATTTCTTCAATTATGATTATTTTAGTTCTCCTTGAATTTCGCAACAGACAGAATAGAGATCCCCGAGTATCCAATCTTGACAAGGATTTAAAACTGCTTCAGGAAATTAAAATCGAAGTACTTGATTTATACCAGGCGGACCATTTAAAGTTGAGCGATCAAGTTTTTGAATTAGTATTTGGGGAAGTTGTACCAGTGTGTGCTGTACTAGGAGGTATCATTGCGCAGGAAGTTATTAAGGCTGTATCACAGAGAGAAATACCAGTCAATAATGTATTTTTATTTGATCCTGTAACTTACTGTGGCAAAGAAGAAACTGTAGCCTAACATGAGCCCCTTAAGTAAAACATTGTATTTATTTTTTCTACCGCATTAAAGTATCCTAATTTCAATTTTTTTTTTAGACAAAAATGTTCTAATTGTATTTCTCATTAATACATTTTTCAACATATTTATTTTTTCTGATTTTTATTTGTGAGTGTGTAGTATTAAGGACGCACAATATATATTGTATTTAAATGTTGACTGGATACTATTGCGTTTACTATAAAAATACAGGCTTTCAAAATGGTAAGTGAAAAACAAACAAACCTTGCTATTTTTACATAATTTATTTTCCTTTTCTTAATAAGTCCTTTTCTTTATATTTCATTTGTATAGTCGTTGAAGTTGTTGGTCATGAATACATTTAGTGGATATTGGTCACAAATATTTAAAAAGGAGTGGTAACAGTTATAAAATTATTGTCTAATATAGAGGCTGCCCTATTATTTGTCCGCTATATACCCGGGTTATTCCGCATCAAAGGCACAAAACAATTCTTATTTTATTTTCGATGACTTTTTCAGAATTGGCAGGTATTAGTTCGTCTTTCAGTCATATATAGCCATCAGATATATAGAGGCCATTTTTGAAGGCAACATCAAAACGTTGGAAAGGTATGCGCGATTTACCAGACACCCTAAGAACCTGCTGAGCGTGCAAGATTCGCACACTCGAAAAAGACCACATGGATTTTACCACAAATTCACGAACCTATAGTCGGTCAAAAAAGTCTCCGTACACATAGTATTTTTTCAGTTTCCTTTTAGTGTTTTTTTTCAGTTACATTTAATGAGAAATATATTTCGGATAAATATCGGCAATCTCATTAAAAGTAATAAAAATAAAATAAAAATCATTTGAAAAACTTTATTTAAACGATAAAAAGTAAGGCACTTTTAGAAGCAAGAAACTATGCCAAATAAGTCTCCACACACTATTATTTCTTATGATAAATTGAAAAGTTTCTTAAAGTCTAATATTTTGTTCAATTGCCATTTGCTTTAATAATGGCATTAAGTCTTTTTGGAAGATTTAAAACAAGCTTTCATGTAACTTCTGACGGTATGTTTTCCCAATCTTCTCTTATCCTATTTTTGAGATCTTCTTTACTCGTAAACTTGATGCTTTTTCACTAGTCGCTTTAATTCTTCACAAAGGTGTTCTATGGAGTTAACATCCGGAGATTGTGATGGCGTATGAAGTTGTTGGCGGACCTTATGGATCATCAAGTGACGTACAAGCGCAGCAGTGTGTTTAGGATCGTTATCATGTTGGAATAAATAACGCCCTTCAAGGTTAAGTTTTTCAACAATTTGGTTTAAATTATTCTTTAGGAGGTTCAAATAACCATGTCGGTCTATGGTTTCGTCAATGAAAGTTAAATTGCCTGTCCTTTTAGCTGACATGCACCCCAACAATAAAACATTACCTCCACCATGCGTCATCGTGAGACGGACATTTTCGATTTTCAGAGCTGTATTTTTTTTCCTCCAAACTTTATTCGGACCATCTGAACCAAAAAGATCTATTTTTGTTTCGTCACTAAAGATGTTTCCCCAAAACTCCCTGGTTTTGTTAATGTGTTCTCGGGCAAATCCCAAACATTTTTTTCGATTTTAATTCGAAATTAATGGTTTCCTTCTGGCAACGCGGCCGTTATGACCTACCTTATGCAAGCAGTTTCTAATCGTTTGAGGGCTAACATTTTTTGAGAACTCTTCCCTGATTTGCTCTGCAAGTTTTAGAGTGCTTGTTTTGGAATTAATTCTAATTTTTTTCACAACAGAAGACTTTTCTCGTGCAGTTAACTTCCTGGGACGACTAGAGCGCGGCCACACTTTCTCTAAAGGATTTTTCCTCTTTTCATAAATCTACTATGATTTTTAGAAAGCGCAATTGGAATTTCGCAATTTTTAGTGTTCATTTTGCTTTTACTTCAAAACCACTGACTTAAAACTGGCATCGTTTGTTTTAACGAAAAAAAAAACAAATAAACAAGTATAACTCATTTGTTCAGGCGAAATTTGATACAAGCTGACTTGATAAATTATTGATAATTAAAGGTTCTACCCGCAGTTCTGAATAGTGATTTATTAAAGTGTATTGAGACTTATTTGACATAGTTTCTTGCTTCTAAAACTGCCTATATTGCCTAGATTGCCTATATTTACTTGAAATATATTCTCATTAAATGTAAGTGAAAGAAGAAACTAAAAAAAAACTGAAAAAATGCTATGTGTACGGAGACTTTTTCGACCGACTGCAAGTATATAGGATTTGTTTTTTTTTTCTATGATGATTATTCAGCTGATCGTTGCCTCATATTTTATGAAACACCCTGTGTAATCTGCACTATTGACTTGTGTATTGTAAGACTACCAGTTAATATCCGGACAACGTAACTTTTAAAGACAGGAATGTTGGTTTGAGGGACCTTTAAGTAGATTTAGTAGACTTTGGTATGAAAAAATTCGCCGGCGCGATCTGATTTTTATAGGTTTCCCGCACGGGATCGAAAAGAAAACAGAAGAGCAGCCACGTCTTCGAGGTGACGTACGCGTGACGGCGTTTAAAAATAATTTGTATCTCGTGAGGGGCGTCGCGACGCGGCGTCAACGGTATTCGACTTTGAGAAGGGTCATTTTAGTTTGTTTTCCGTGCGCGCGACGAATTTATCTCGAAAGGAAAATAAAATTTTCGCGGTCGACGGTTTTGAAACGACGGTGGAGCGTACACTTTTCTTTTATTCCCGAAAACTGATTTGAACGCAACAGGTATTTGTATGTCTACCGTTTGCGTTTGGCGGTCTCTCGTCTCCTAGATTCGTTTTTGTGGAGTGTGTGTGTGTGTGTCCGCAATCTTTAAAAAGTCCAGAGGTAAGTTCCGTTGTGCATTTTTTTTTCTTAAATTGTATTTGCGAATGATGAAAAGGAATTTATTACTAATAAAATACAGCACCCGCATGTGATTTCGCATGTAAACAGTCACGACTGGTGGCCGTCTTACGTAAATGTAATTTATGGCGCATGCACTGGGTACATATGAAAATAATATAAATTTTGACGATTTTTTTAGAGACTAGTACAAATTCATTTCTAAATTTATTATTTACATCTCGCATTTAATTTTTTTATGGGTCGTTATTACCTACAAAGAAGCTTCGAATAGTTTCTAAAAGCGAGTGCAACGATTGAACAGAGCCGGATTGACTAGTTATTTTACGATTTACCAAAATCAACACGGATATACAAAACCTAAAATTGCTTTCTTAGTATGCTTCACTGTCCTTAAATATTTATTGGAATCGGAGCCACTTCGGATATTTCCGGGATTTTACCGCATGAGTTGGGGAGCAATCGAATGTTGTCGGCAATATTTCCCACGTCTTGAATTTTGACGTGTTGTTTTGCGAAAATGTTTCCAAAAAGAAAAAGTATAGTATGTAACACGTTCGGTAAACTTTTTAAGTCACTCGTTTATTAAACACTCGCTCCTCTCGAGTCAAATAAACTCGTGAGTCAAATGCCGTTTACTGCACTTGTTGCATAATATACTGTTATACACGTTTGTTTTTTTATTCTGTTTCGATTGGATAATCGTATGTTTTTCAGCGACACGTCCAGCAACCAGAAAAGAGTCCGTTTTGCCATGTCCGTACCTTTTATCGACATGGATCGTGACGATGACGACGGCGTCGGTTACGTCTCCGAAAGTCACTATCTGAAGAGCCCGAGTGTGGAGCAACAGCAGGCGATGTCACTGCTTCAAATCCCTCAAGGGGTACCCCGCGAATCTAGCATCTCATCCAATATGAGCGACATGGATGTTCCGATCTATTCCTCGGAGAATTTAACAACCAGATCGAGAAAAGTCGTTCACTCTGTAAGTTTTCCTCGGTCACTTAAGGAAAAATTTCAAAACCAATTAATAGTTTTAGACTTTATAATTTGTAAAGGCAATTTTATATGCCGGGGACTTTTGTTATCGGCTCAGTCCTTTAAAAATTAGAGCAATCGTCAGAATTTCTCATAATAAGATATATATGTATTGTTTCATCGTATTTATATTACCTAATAGCTATATGACTCAAAGCAATCCCAGGGCTAGATTCTACGTTATAAAAGGGATGAACGGTGAAAGTCTGACTGTATCGCTATATACAGGGTTGTAACTTTGGTGAAAAGCAGAGCTGCAGATTTTTGATGAAAAAAAAAGATTTTTTTTTTAATATACAAAAGAATTTAAGTTTAAAAAATATTTTCATTCAGTTTCCATATTTGACTATAAAGCAGAGATTTCTTAAGAGAATTTCTGGTGATAACGGCCTGTGGTCAGCTTGAAAAAAGTGTTACCTATTTTGAAGAAGGTTTGTCCTTTCACAATCAAAACGAATTTTTTAAATACAACCCAATAAACATACAAATAGCAAAGTTTTTTTTAAAGCAGCTACGTTGCCTCCTTCATTCATATATATGCCAAAACAATATTACACCAGGTTATTACTTAATTTGCAGAAACACGTATTAATTTAACACGGATACTGTCCGTTACTTTATTTAATGATACCTGCTAACAAAATGATGAATTTCAGTTATACTGTATCTAAATTTTATTGTGTGATATAATCGATAAGAATTTAATTTCAATTACATGTTGGAATTTTTATTGTCGATGTCACCCTATAAATACATTTTATCCTTTTTTTAATGTTTTTTTTTTTATAACGTGAGAGCCACTGTCGAGCGTGTAAAACTTTAGGTAAATTCGTTATAGTGATAGATCATCAAGGCGTTTTAGATAAGATTATTGCAGAAATAAAAATTAAAAATTGCCAAATATAACCCAACGGGTCACACCTACTTTTCGCCATATCGTGTAACGCTGCCAAAGTCGCTGCTTATTTACGTACGCCGTGCTTGTTTACTCTTACTGGTTGCGCAAATTGTATTGGCGCCAATACTTTGAACACCGTGAGGGAATATACGTGGGACGTGCGAAAATCGCATGCTACAACATTTAGCGAAAATTTTCGAAAATATCGCTCAAAAAAAGGACAATTCGACTATTTCAATACAAGTTATGTATTGAGTTTCAAGTAAGCTGTTTGGGTATTTTGGCGAATTTTTCTACGAAAATATAGATCCTTTAGATAAAATGTGTTTTTTTATGCTATTAAAATAGCTCTTTCATTTAGATTGTTTTTTTAAAGCTTGATCACGTCTATTTGTTGGAACAAATTAATACATTATATTTTTTAATGCAAATTAAAGTTTCATTTGCGTAAAACATGTATACCTAACTTCTTCAGTCCCTTGTTAAATTAAATACTCCACACTTGCGCCAAATCAAAATCGTGACTAAAGTGCTGTTTGTCAAACTTAACAAACACAATGTACTATTGCCGTCACAAAGACAGATAACGGACAAAACTTTCTACCATTTTCCCCTCCCCTTCGCCTCTAAGCTAGTAGAGTTTACATTTCCCGACAAGAATTCGTCAAGTGGTTTTTAAAATTACTGGACAAAAAAAATGTACTATATAGAATCTGACGATCTTAATGGCTAAATTCATTTGAATAGAGTTTAACACTATTTTGACAAAAATTTTAATGAAAGATTTTTGCTATTTCAGCAAAAAAGGCGATACTTGCATTAGATGCGAGCTCACAGAAAATGATACCAACATTTTTTTTTAGCTGTAAGTAAACTATATACATTAACATTTGCTTCGGAAATGGCAGTGTAAGGGCCAAACTCGGTTGTTTTTAATATTTCATTATTTTAAAATTTAAAACATGTAATTAATTACTCTTCCGTATGCAAAATTTCGTTTTCACAAATACTTTGCCGGATGTTCCCATCGACATTTGTTTAAATTGTTCACATTTTTTCATTGAATGAAAATTAATGGTGTCAGTTATGGTGTTTTGTGTTTCAAATCAAGTCAACACTTCAATTAACAATTTGTGCCTTGAATCAATTTTTTATTGCTAAAATTTATTTACCAGCACGTTTAGTTCACCTCATCTACTGCTCAGAGACGCTTTTCTATCCAAAGTATAATTAGGCGTTTTGATATTTAATAGTAAGGATTATAATTTGTGCGTAGGTACCTTTTAATGTATCATTCTCTGGCAAATATTTGCGAGACGGCAATAAATACCTGTATTAGCTATTCTTAAAATTTAAATTGGTTTATCAGCGATTGATAAATACAATAAACGAAGGCGAATTGTTAGCAAATATTTACGGCTGTAATTATATTTTGACTAGTAACTATTTTGGCATATAAAATCGAGACACGCGGTATGCGATGCGTAATACTGATTTAAATAATTAAACAAATTAATACAATATCTTATGAATATTCTCTGTGGCAACACTCCAAATCCAAATCAAGTCAATTGCTAACTTCTTTTTTATTGACACTACGAGGTCGGTTAAATAAATGTAGCTGTAGTAGTGTTCATCTGATTAAACGAACCAAAATAATACATGCTGTAAAAGTGATGGTTTAATTTGAGAATTTGAAAAGAATAATAATTTCCTGAATTTTGTTATGCCAATTATGAACTTTTGCAGTTTATATAGATAAATCCTCATTTGGATGATAATATGATGAAATGATGAAATATACCCATTTTTATCTACTACTTATTTTGGGAATAAAAACAATTAAACAAATAACTTTAAATAAATTTCGACGTAACATAATAAAAAATTCAGGAAAGATGCATAACGTTAGCAATGACAGTAAGTGTATTCTTATGGCATTTACTAAGTGGCATCAGTATGACAGTCCTGGCTTTAGGTATATGTGCTTACAACCGCCTGTAAAATTTGAAATAAAACATTCATTTGTTATGTAGATAATTAGCAGCACTTAAAGATTTAAAAGATGCTTGAATGAACATACAGAAATCAAAAATACTAACAGCAGTGTTGCCAGATTTGCCAGATTTAAACCATCAGATATCAGTGAAACGTTAGCAGAGTTATAAACCTTATCGCAAAATCTGACATTGGTATTAGCATTTTTGAATTCTGCATATGTATATCTAATAAATACCAATTACTGTTTCAATTTATAAATATCCAATATTTTCTGAAGCAAATGGAATTTGGTGCCATCCCTACGACTTCCAAATGAGACTCGCACGTACATACTTATTGGTACGAAGGTAGCTATCCAATTTAGCAAAGTAAACGTTATAAATTGTACTCATAATTCAATTATTTTTGGCGAAGGCTTACACAATGTTGCGACTGATTAGAAATAAATTTTCCGTTACTCGGCGTTGCCAAGTTTTTCTTATCAAAATTGCGTTTTCATTTTCGTTGTTCAGTAAATGTGTTTGTTGTGTTAATGACGCCATCTTAAGATTTCGCAAAGCAGTAGGTGTTCTAAGTTATGAAGAAAATTAATGGTTTCTTGTTATTTAAAGAATGCAGAGAGTGATTTTACGTCGTGATTTAGGAATGGAAAATTGATTTCGAAGGGCAGGCATTGAAAATACCAAATGAGTTCTTCGTGACACGACTGCGAGATTCCAATCGGAATTCAACAAACATAGAGAGGAATAAAAGTTTTTTTGGCTAATAATTTAAAAAAAAACTAAAAAATTATATTGTGTCGTATGCAAATTTATTATTCGTCTTACTACTGCGATCTATTACAGGAATGCTATATCAATTAAAATCTCTAAAATCAGAAACTTTAAAGATTTTCTTGTTAACGTAAAAACTTCGAGACTTTTTATATTGGTTTGTTGTCTTTAAATTCCTAAGCAATCTTTTTTAAACATGAGTGTATAGAGAAAATAAATGAAGTCTCAAGCTCTTACCTTTGATAGAAAAAATCTGGAATTGGCCTTAATCCGGATAAAATATTTTAATATATGTGAATGACTATAGTACGACTTCTTCATTTTAATGAAATGTTATGCGGTATAATAATATGTATAATATAATAATATTCAATTTTTAAAATTAATCCGACTTGCTATTATTTAGCATTTGAAAATTTGAATCGCTTTTTGACATGCTATATGCTGAATGTATCTTATCTTGAATTTTCTTACTTCTCGAGAATACTCGAAAGGTCGGCAACGGCGCAAAATGATGCTAGTGACGTTGACGCCGCGCCCAGGCACGCCCGTCACGCGGACCAATCGTTTACCTGTGAGTAGGCACGATCGATGCCAAAATAAAAAACCTTACCTCCCAGATTAAAGACTCGAGATTATTTTCGGTGCAGACTACGTTAAAATGTCGAACTGCTAGACTTTGCTAATCCGTTAACTAACAACAGTTTCATTTATTATCTAAAATTGTTGTCCGTGTTGGTTCTAAGCCTGACGAAATGTGGCGTATCTACGCGTCACTATAGAATCGCACGTGACCTATGACGTAATGAATGAGAGGCAGGACCGGATTATTTTCCGTTGATTTACAGCCGATAAAAGTGAATCGTGTTCGCCGATGGATTGAGATTCACACATTCGCAAGCGAGTAAAATTTTCGAAAAAAAATTATCAAACATTTACTATAATTGTCTATAAATGTATGGCGCAATTTGAAATAAGAATCGCGTCGTAAACTTTATATAGCAGGGTGTACTTTTATTTTAAATTATATTTTAACCGGTTGATCGGTTAAAAAAAAGTTAATTCATTGGTAACTCCATTTAGAATCTAAATATATAATACAAATATATATACAAATTAATTAATAGAACTTTTAACAATTTAAAGTTCTTAAATACAATAATAAAATGTATGTATTACAATTTTATGCTAACGACTGACTGGAAGATACAGGATGAATACAATTGAACTTTTATTATCTTTTGCTGGAAAATGGACTTGCGACGCACACAGTTG